GTGCGGCGCCCAAGCAAAATAGGTGTCCTCCCTAGGTAAAATCGACATTCTGGACGTGCCGGTGCAGTCTGTTTTGCCGTTCAGAGGTCATTTTGACAAATTCACTGATTTGCGTGTCAATTTGCTGATGTCGAAAGTATGGCAATATGGGTGTCCTTTCCTACCAAAATGGGTATCCCGGACGCGTTGGCGCAGTCCCATTTGTCGTCGCAGGTCATCCGGAGAAGTTCGCGTTTTCACCCGTTCTTTGGGCTTAATTGAAGTCCGATTTCGCGCAATTTTGTGAACTTCGTGTACTTTGTGTGTGTACGTGACGAAAAAGTCGTGACGAATGTTTTCCTAAGGCTTGAAGTCCTATTTGGAACATTTTCCTTGAATAGACATCAAAGGAAAATAGGAATTGGCTGGAATTTCTAGAAGGGTGAGTCTCAATTCTAGTTTTCTAAGATGGTCCATAGGAATTTCTAGAGCTAGAACCTAGGCTCTAAGGAGGAGAAGAAAAGACCTCACAAAAATGAGGTCAACAGGTTGGCGGCTAGGTAAGGTAAGGGGGAATGAGGGGGATGGTTTGTGATGGCAACTAGGGTGGTGAGGGGTGACCGATGGTTGGAAACAGGGAAGGAGGGGGTTTTGTAGTTGATAGCTGAAAGTAGTGTAAAAGGAGGTGGTAGAGTGGTCGGCAGCTAGAAGCAGGGAGATTACAGAGTGGTCGTCAGTTGGGAGGAGGGAGGGAGGGAGGTGGCAAGGCGGCAGGCGGCAGGCGGCTAGAAGCAAGAAGGGCAGCCATCGGCTGCAGAACAACAAGCAAAATAGGGATTGCATAGGGGAATTAGGTAGAGGTTGTCACCACCTTGGGACAAGATACAGTCGAAGCACCATCTGTCATCAGGATACTATCTTAGCAAGAAAAAATGATTGGAGGGAAAAAATCTGAAATTAGAAAACAAGATTGAGCACTAAAACAACAAACAACATATTATAATAACCGGGAGGGGGAGAGGGGGGTGGGGAGCCCTACCCTAAAAAGAACTAGCCAATCCAACCTCCCTACTGCTGAATTGGCGGGTTTAGCCCAAGCAAGTTCAGCGTTAATCTAGCTGGGTTAGGTGAGCTTCAACCTCATTCATTGAAGCTTCAATCAGCTCGTTGCTAGAGGTGGTGTTGTGACCTCTGGGATTTAAGTGTCATCTAATGCGGTCTGAAAAGCACTTACATCCCACTGGCAACTACACCGTCTCCCAAAACACCTGAGGATTTTTCTCCACTTGCGAGCATACAACCATATCAATCCGCTTTTTTGGGGGTCCACTATTGGCCTGAAATTATTCTATGTATTTTGTTTCGCATATACTGTTGAATTCTCCCAAAGTAATCCACGATCTAGTCAACCTGATCTGAAGTTAGAGTAGCCTGAACCTCTTTGAATGGCGATGGCAATGGTGGTAAGGTATCGACCGTGATGTCTTGAAATTTCAGTCTTGCCTATCACGTGTTTGGAACTGGTGTCATACTCCATCGTCACCAAACTGGTCTCACTAATGCTACTTTACTGGAAAGGGCACCTGCGATATCGTTAAGAAGAACGGGTCAGTCCAACCTCCAGGCTGTTGAACAGGCAGGTTCATCCCAAACAGGCCCCGTATCAACCTCGCAGGGTTGGAGGAGGTTCGACCTCATTTGTTAAAGCATCTGTTAGCATGTTGCTAGTGGTGTCAGTGTCGTAAACTTTTGGGATTGAAGGATTTCATACTGTGATCCGAGAAGTACCTGGATCCCACGGGCGACTGCACCGCCCCCAAAGTACCAAAAGATTTTCCTCCATTTGTGAGCATACATCCATATCGATACGCTCTTCTAAGGATCCATTACTGGCCTGAACTAAGTGTGTTTAGCTTATACTGTTGAATCCTCCCAAAGTAATTCATGGTCTAATCAACCTAATCTGAAGTAAGATTAACATGTACCTCTTCAAATGGTTGTGGCCATGGTGGCAAATTATCGACCGTGATATCCTGAAATGCTCTATCGTGCTTATCCCATGTCTAGAGTATGTGTATCAGTCCTATCATCCCCTGTCATCACCAAAACTAGTTCCACCTATGTTGCCCTACTGACAAGGGCACCTATGATATCAGGCTCAGTCGAAGTAAGAAGGATGATGCATTTTAACTCCTTGGTGAAGGAGTAGGTGTTATTGAATCCGTTGTGCTGAGTTCTAAGGGCAAACTGAAATAGTCTCCCCAACAAAATGCGACAGGCATCAATGGGTACCACATCACACCACACATGATCCTGTAATTGACTCTCAATCAAAAACTCCACTAAGCACCTTTGGTGAATGTTGGCCTTGTTCTTCTTATTCAACCACGTCAAAGAATACAACTAAAAATTTCACCAAGTCATGAGGCCTAATTTCTCTGCCATTTGCATAGACATCATGTTCTTGTTGTTTACTCCATCAACGAAACTTCATGCCTTCCTATTTACAGTGCAACAGATGTAGAATATGTTGTGGTGAAGCCACTGTAGATCACTCATATCCTCAGTCTGTAGGACCCGTCGAAACATGAGCATCTCGACTTCATCTGGTGGAAGATGATACACCTCACCATTTTCCTCAATTGTCTCCTCGTCGCTAACCTCCTCCACTGCACCCTGTTCAATAAAAGAAAATCTACTTGTTAGGCAACTGGAGACGATGTGCCCAAATCCATTGCATCTAAAGTATTTTTTTGGTGGGGACTGTAGTAGCATGCTACTCTTCTCGGGCTTCTCACTCGAAGTGGCTCTGTTCTTACCTGGACTAGTTTTTTCAACTCCCTGAGACGTGCTCCTGCTAGTGTCTCCAATAGCATGTGGCTGCTAGACTGGTGATGGTTTTTTGTCTTGTCATTGTTGTCTCTTCACCTTCAGGGATAAGGTCTAGATATCTCCCAGTGATCAATAAGGCTACCACTACACAGTATTGCTAATAGCGGGCCTTAAGCCTCCCAGATAACAAGCTATGGTATGCTCTTCTGGCTCAACCAACTAATATTTCATCTGCAACTGGTTAAACAACATTGTGAGCTCCTCCACAAAATAGGTCTCTCTTTCATAGATGGTAGAGTCTTAAAAACATATCCCGACGATAATGAGGTTGGTATTTTATTTGCATCTTTTTCCCGATCTCCCATTTAGTAATCTTGTCATTGTTTTCTCTCTTTCTCTGACTCTGCAAGTTTTCCTCAACCAGGAGGGGCTCTTTTTCACTTGATGGATATTATGTTTACCCATTTATCCTTTGGCACTTCCTTCATGCCCTCATCCTATTGTAGCAAGTCGATAAAGTCGTCTGGATCCATACCTCCATCAAACTCCAGTAAATCCACCTTGACGTTGAAATCTCTATGTCCTCCATATGTGATCTCCTCTGTCGACCTACTCTATAACAAATTCCGAAGCGTCGGGCCTGTATTCCTCATCACTGAAGCCATCCCTGTGGAATGGATTCACATCATCATCCCTTTCTCACCTCCGACTCTCCATATCACGATCGAGGGTAACTTCTCCTAGGTTCCAACTTCCATCTCTGCGAGACTCTACTGAAGATGTCGGAGCTCTCGTTGCTTGTTAGGCTCGGGTCTGCATCTCCTTGGTGGCATAGTTAGGGTTTACGATTTATGGGAGTGGAAAGAATATTTGGTGATAGGAAAGAAAACTTTTAGTGGAGATGGTTTGAGTTTGTAGATGCTAGGAAACCCTAGGATAGAACTAGGGATATACTGACTCTTATACCAATTGATACTAGAGTTAACCCAAAAACCATAACAGAAGAATACTTTACGGATAAAAATAAAAGTTGGTGGCAAACACGACACTTGAAAACAGAAAAACAACGTGCGCACACAACTACAACGTAGATCGGGGTGGTGGTGCTACAATTGGAGGGGTTGAACTAGATGATGAAGGAAGATTGGTGGCTAGGTAGGGTAAGGAGGAATGAGGGGAATGGTTTGAGATGGCAGCTAGGGTGGTGAGGTTTGGCTGGTGGCTAGAAACAGGGAAGGAGGGGGGTTGGTTGATCGGTGGCTGAAGGCAAGTTGCAAGGAGGTGGTAGGGTGGCCAACAACTTGAAGCAGAGAGGCGGGGCAATAGCAGGGTGCCAGCGGCTGAAAGCAGGAAGGGAGGGAGTTGGCGGGGTGGTCGGTGGCTGGAATCAGGAAGGGTGGGCACTGGCCGCAGGACAACAAGTTAGAGAGGAATTAGGTAGAGGTCATCACCACCACAGAGTAGGATGCAACCATAGAACCACCTGCACTCGGATACAACCCTAACAAGGGAAAAAGCTTGGAGGAAGAAATATGAAATCAAAGACTCTCAGCTGGCCCGATTCCTTTAGGCCAAGCAATCCCCGCATATGTAGATATCTGAAAATAGATACCTTTATCAATAATTGCAAGGTGCATTCATACACTGATAGATGCTGACTTAAGCAAGAACTTATAAAAGGTGACTTCCTTTTTTTCATTGCTATAGACATCCAATGCTACATCAAAAAAATAAATTTTGAACTATCAGATGTCACGCAAACGAATTCCATCAAAGTAACTGCTGGGTGGAAGGAACAATTAAAGCCAGTAAATTCTTTTATAAGCAGTTTCTTTAAAGAAGCAAATTCAAAAATCAGTAGAGCTCCACGATACTTACAGTTGTAATCAGTCCAGCCAATAACTTGATTCTCAAGATCATAGACAACTAACTTATTTGATAAGACCAAATCTGCAAAATGATCTAAAAGTAAATATAGGAATAAAGTAAAATAAATAAATAAATAAATAAATCTATAGAGCCTTAAAGAATATATTAAAGGGTGGTTTGATTTTTGGAGATGTATGCCTATTAAGATGTGAATGTTAATAGATGTTGATGTTATCAGCAAATGAAGTCTTTGATTCAGAGTAATTATATTGAAATATTAAAGAAAACTACTTTAAGACATAGTAACATGATTTTTCAGATGTCATGATATTAAATGGTTAAATTGGTCACCATCTAATGACACAAAAAAAAACGTATTTTTTTTTTTTTTTAATGTGATTTGACAATATCACTGAACCAAATAGTGACCAATTTAACCATTTAAATATTATGACATGTAATATCATGTCACTGAACAAAACAAACCCTAAAGTATTATAAGAAGAAATGGAAGGCTTATTGTCTTCTCTAATAGAAACTATACATTTTCCTTCTCATTATGACAATCCAATTTTGGTTTTAAAGTTGTCAAAATACAAAACCAGATAAAAAAAAGTTAAGAACCAAGTTTAATCAAACTCCTGGATTTTTTCTGTCATTTGCGACTTTTGTTCTTTTATTTACATCTTTTTATTTGTATAAAGATCCTTTTCTAACAATACAATTAATAGTACCTATTTGGCCCCTTAATGAAGATAAAGTGTCTATCAATAATTGCAATTCTTCATGAATTCAATAAATGAAACAAATGTGATTTTGAAAATATTGCCATGGAAAGGAAACCAGTACACAAAATTTAATGGTAAAAACTTCTGTATTAGAAGGATGTTCATCATCAAGATTTTATATGATTGGCCAATTCAAGTACTGAAAATATCAAAAAAAAAAGTAACAGAATGTGTATGAACCATAATCATCAACAAACTAACCAACGCTGCTTCAGCTTCGCAAACCATATTTATACATAGCTTCCTTATCGTTCTCTCAAATTAATTCTATTTTGATTAGATCAATTTTGATAACTCAACTACATTCCATATTTGAAGTCTGGGGGTAGCCAAAATGGAAGACATACCTCCTAAAAGAAATATATCCTTTCCATCTTTGGACTGCAAGGCACTGTTTTGAAAGCCAGTACACCAGATTCCACCCTGAAAAAAAATGCCATCACAAGAATTTGCTTTAAAGGATAATAATATGAGACAAGAAAAGATAACATTATAAAATAAATAAGAAGGCTATAAAAATTAATTTCTTGGATACAGATAACCTACAAGTTTCCCAGGAAATTTTAGAAGAAGCTTGAGATGAGAAAAATTGGGCTCCAAGGATGCAATTAAACATCATGCAAAATACCAACAGTATATGTCCGCTCAAATACAATTATCTGCCACACTGTGGTTTCAGTGAAACATAAGTTACAGTGCACAATAACTCTGTCGAACTGTATAATGAAATTTCTAGATGAAAGTTTCACTTGGTAAAAATATTTTTCAAAGATTCGTGTAGTTTAGGTAACTTGTGCATAGTTTACTTCAGAGAAATCAGATTCTCTGCCATAATATGTTAATATATTTCTTGTTCGCAAAAACATAGAAATTTGGCTACCCATTTAGTGTGAGGTAGTAAATTTGAAAGTCAAATTACACCTCAAGCGTCTCAAAATTAATTGTAAACGCTAAAGAAGATAGAATACTTTTAGTTCAGAATCTAGCATATTAATTCTATGTAAAGTGACAGTACTGGATGCAAAAGAACAATAGAAATTCTATTCAATTCAGTAGTTGATTTTAAGTGGTATTTATTTATGTTCCATGAACTACTTAAAACTATTTTCATGAATAAAAACAAACGCTCTCATAAAAATATTGTTCTAGAACAAACTATACATCATTTGGAACCTGAGGTATGCAATTTGCATTATAGCAGGTATAAAAATCTATGCTAATAAAATATTTTTTTTGTGGAAATTTACATACATAACACAAAATTCTTATGTATTTACATAAATAACACCCAGACTTTGATATTTACATTTACAACACCTTGGTGTAATAAACCTATGCATAAAAATGTGTATTTCACTTAAATAAAAGTTAATGATGGTCGTATTTTTTATGTGATTTTAAAGATCTGAGTGGTATGCATGCAGAGGAGTTTAACTATGTAAATACATAAGAACTGTGTGGTATGTATGTAAATGCCCCTTTCTTTATTTTGCCAAAGCTAGAATTGTAAGTAAACTAGTACACTTCATGGACAACTTTAAACTCATTCATACAATGCATACATTTGTTTATTTGTTTAGATAATTGAATGAAATTGAAAAAAAAAATCTGAAGCTCAGCATATTAATAAGCAAACAGGAGCATTGATCTACAGGCTCATTTATGTTTGTGATTCTGTTGTTGCTCATCAAATAGTTTGTTGAGAGCTTGATATAATGCGCCTTCATTTAATGATGACGACAACTCGTTTTCTGTTCTTGCATAAATTTTCTCGTCTCCGATGCAATTTACATTAAAATTATGTATTTTATTATGTTCTAAGAATGACGAAAATATTGAGGAATAATTGGATGGATAGATTAAATATCAAATTATATTTGTTAAAATCTGAACTTCACAAAAATTTTTTATGGAAAAATTATTAATACTAATTAGGTACGTGTTATAATAATGAACATCTTACTTAGGCTCAATTAAAACTAGATTACAGCTCAAACTTAAAAAAAAACGAATTAATAAATAAATCAAATAAGATTTTCAATTTGGATCATGAAATGCTCGGATTCAACTGAATAAAAACAATATATGAACAAGTTAGGGTAGGACTCTTCTAGACTTGGACCATTTACAGGTCTAATTAAGCAAAAATAACAAACGATTTTGACAACTGACAATTTTCAAGCTGTCCGAGGTAGTTATAGCACTAGGATGGACATAGAGGACGATTTTCTGAAGTTCTTATGTCATGAAAATAGCCATCATACAAACCAGAGGAAGTTAAAAAATATAGATGACAGAGATTAGTGCAAAATACAAAAGAAAGAGGAATAAATATCTGTTTATCAATGAAAAAAGTACACTCCTATTCAGCATTGCAGCACAGCACTGTTTAAAAGCATTACAAACATAACTTTAGAAACTATCAAGTACTTTGCATCAAAACTTCTATCATTACACATCTATAGAAAGATATTATCTTCAATAAGGGGAAACTATCAATCTCTAGCATGCCTCAGATGTAGTCAAAGATTTCCATGGGCCTTACCTCATTTTCAAAAAAGTAGTCATGGGGATAAACTTGCAGCTCCACCGAATTCTCAAAAAAGAAAGTAACCTTTGGAAATGCAGCATCTATGCTGAAATTAAAATAAAAGAGCATGTCAAGAAACACTTTGCGACTATATCTTGTAAAAATTCAAGCGAAGGAAAGTCTTAAAATTTTATTAGCACTATATGAAAAGAAAACCAAGTGAAATCAAGTCCTGCACCCAAGAAAGAAAAACCAAAAAAAAAAAAAAACAAAGGATCTGCCTCATCCGTTGCAGGTACAGGGGAGCATGATCTACACACTAATACCTCCTTCAAAGCTGTTCATCTTCAGAGCTTGATCTGTCAAAAAATTTCATCACAATAGTACAGGCTAGAGCAAACAAAGTTTTATACAACTATATCAAATAGGTCTTGTTTATATAACAAAGCCCACTTCTTCTAAAGTAAATAGATTCAACCTGCCGCTTTTCCTTCTTATTCAGTAAAATGTAAGGCAGAAGAGTATGGAGGGATTCAAAGTTTCATTTGTTTATGCTTCATTGCATCAATGTTCACCTTATCATAGGATCATTGTTCAGCACTACAAACGTTCATGCCACCAATGGCAATGGCTAACATTGACATAAAATAACCACGCAATTGTTATTATATGAAGTGTAATTGTGTTAATTAATTGGACACTCAAAGAGCTCAATTTTGCCAATCAAGCTTGATAGTAAGTTTGCTCGGGGGGCATGGAGGGTCTCCCTGTATTGGATTCGGGGCGTTGCTGTCGAAAATTATTTTTATTGGACCCTAGAAAGCAATGCTACCACACCCAATACAAATTCAAACCATAGAGCACGACACTTTGACGACCGAAGAGGAGCGACACAGTTCCCAAATGCAGCGCTATAGCCCCTAATCTCGATTCAGAAATCCCATAGCATAACATTGCAGCGTTTGGACGTAATGCCACAACATTCCTTTAGAGCGCCACTACGCCCTATCGCGTCGCCCTAGCTCGAGTCACCAAAACTCAAGCAATTCAGGTTTAATATTTGGGCTTCACAGTGGAATTTAGTGTTTTTAAGTTAGATTTTGATATTTCTCTTGTGCACTGAAAAGGAATTAGTAATTTGTACGGTTCTTTTCAATTTTCATAGTGAGATTTTGGTATGGTGTGGCTCCGTGGGTTTTTTTCTCTTTTTCGGGTATTTTCCATATTAAACCTTGAAGTTCTTTATATTTTCTGTGATTTCATATTTTGTGAGTGTAACAGAAAAGATTCTCTTCTATTTACTAATTGAAATCACATATTATGTACTTATATACGCTCCTCTCTCTACAGGTTAGGAATATACATAATATAGAAAAGATCTCAAATTAAATCTCCTCTAATTAGGTTACCTAAAATACAATCTTCATAATATACTAACTACCTAAAATACAAGCTTTCTATTTAGTATTTTCCATAATACTCCCCTTAAGCTAATGCATTAATATTGATCATGCCAAGCTTGTTACAAATATAAATGACCCTTGCTCCATTAAGGGCCTTTGTGAATGTATTTCCTAGTTGTTCCTCAGTCTTTACATGAGCTGTAAAAATCAAATTATGTTAAATTTTTAATAAAAAAATAACAATATATCTCAATGTGCTTTGTTCATTCGTGAAAATTAGGTTAAAAGCAATATAAATTGTAGCTTCATTATAACACCACAACTTTGCTAGAGTAATCACAAAAAAAATGCATTTTGGTCATGAATTAGATGACCCACATTAATTCACTCGAAGCTTGTGTCGTTGCTCGATACTCGATTATGCACCGGATCGTGACATTATATTTTGTTTCTTACTCTTCCATGATGAGACCAAATTGCCACCACAAAAACACAATATCTAGTAATGGACATTCGATCGATCTTGGAACTTGCCCAATCTGCATCAGAGAAGCATTCAATATTTTTAAGCTCATGATTCTAATATAGAATCCCTTTTCAAGAGCTCATTTGAGTTTACATAATATAAGTTCTAGAGCTAACCAATGATAGACCGTGAGGAAAGACATCATCTGGCTTATAGTGCTACCTAAATATACAATGTCAGAATGAATCACTGTGAGTTAGTTTAATTTCTCCACAAACTTCCTATATCATTTCGGGTCATTAAAAAACTCTCTCACCCTTGGTAAATTGCTGATTAGGGACCATCAGAGTACTACATGGTTTGACCCCTAATTTTTCGATTTCTATTAATAGATAAAAAAAAGTTAGAATATAAAAAAAATTGAGATAGAAAGAAACCCTTCTTGCCCCTTGATATTTAGATTCCCAAAAAATATTTCAAGAAACTAAGATCTTTAGTGACAAACTAATTTTGAAGAAATGAATTCAATGATAAGATTTCTTGCATACCGTTTCTAGTAATAGTAATGTCATCAACATAAACTTTCAATTGAATGATTCTTGAAGCAAATTTCTTATAAAATACATCATGATAACTTTTACTTTTCTGCATCCCAAATCCTTCTACAGCCCTGCTAAATTTTCCAACACATGCTCAAGGGCTTCGCTTCAATCCATATAGAAACTTCCAAATATTGCATATTTTTTTAGACTCCCCCCTAAGCAACAAACTCAGGAGGTTTCCCACGTATGCCTATTCCAACATATCACCATGTAGAAAAGCATTCTTTACATCCAACTAATGCAAAGGCCAATTATTCATTGCGACCAAGGATAGAGGTAGGCGAATTGAAATTAATTTAGCTACCGAGGAGAATGTATCCAAGTAGTCGATCCCATAAATTAGAGCATAGCCCTTTGCTACAAATCCCTCATAATGAAACTTAACTGCAAAGACTCACTTAAAACCAACGACCTTCTTTCCATAAGGCAGTTTAACTAGTTGCACAATCCATTATCAGCTAAGGCATTCATTTCATCAAGCATCTCTGTCGTCCACCGAGAATGGAATAAGGCTTGTTGAACAGATATTGGGACCGCAACAACAGAGTCAAGAGAGGCAACAAACGAGCACGAAGTGAAAGATAACTGCATATAGTTAATACAAGAGGAATGGGTTAGGCTCATTAACGTCTACCTCTTCAAAGAGCAATCTGTAAATCAAGATCACTAGGAGGATCCACTGAGGAAGATGATATTGATATTGAACTAGGATCAAAGGAGTGGTGTATTTTTGAGTAAACATTAATGATAGGTGATTTGGGTTGATGCATTAGAGATGGACTAAAGCAAGATCTGAACATATGATGTGATAGGTTAACAACTCATCAGCATCTGGTGAGAATTTAGACATTGATAAGTCACCAAAAAATGGGGTTTGTTCATGAAAGGTGAAATCAGCAGAAATCATGTACTTATTTAAGAGGGCAATAACATGAGGGGAAAAACATCGATGCCCTTTTTACAGGCAAAAATATCCAAAAAAAAAGACTCATTAAAGACTTAGGGTCAAGTTTGGACACTTGTCTGACGAGTATCACGAAAAAAACAAGTATATCAAAATATGCACGGTTCAATAGAAAAAAGAGAGAGAGCTAAAAATAAAACTTGATTGGGTGTCTGGATCTATAAAACAACAGAAGACATCCGATTGATCAAAAAACATGCAGTAAAAATTACATTAAACCAGAATTATTTAGGCACATTTGTTTGAAGCAAAAGAGCTCTAGCCATCTCAAGTGTATTTTTCATTTTTTTTTAACTACTTCATTTTGGGATGTAATATCGACATAGGATGACTAGTGAAGCGTGCTATATTCTATCATGCGCTTCTAAAAAGAATACAAATGATGATATTTAAAAAATTGACACAATTCACAATCTAAAGATTATGACTACTGAAGCTAAGAGCACAACTTTTCAACATTTATAGAGATGGATGTCCTAATCGACAATGGATTTCAAAATAAGATACGGTATTAGAACAAGGTACGAGTCGAGGTACCTCATTATGCAAAATGTATAAGTTAACATATGATGTGATAGGTTAACAACTCATTAGCATCTGGTGAGAATTTAGACATTGATAAGTCGCCAAAAAAATGGGGTTTGTTCATGAAAGGTGAAATCGGCAGAAATCACGTACTTATTTAAGAGGGAAAAAACATCGATGCCCTTTTTACAGACAAAAATATCCAAAAAAGACTCATTCAAGACTTAGGGTCAAGTTTGGACACTTGTCTAACGAGTATCACGAACAAAAAAAGTATATCAAAATATGCACTGTTCAATAGAAAAGAGAGAGATAGCTAAAAATAAAACTTGATTGGGTGTCTGGATCTATAAAACAACAGAAGACATCCGATTGATCAAAAAACATGCAGTAAAAATTACATTAAACCAGAATTATTTAGGCACATTTGTTTGAAGCAAAAGAGCTCTAATTATCTCAAGGAAGTGTATTTTTTTTTAACTACTTCATTTTGGGATGTAATATCGACATAGGATGACTAGTGAAGCGTGCTATATTCTATCATGCGCTTCTAAAAAGAATACAAATGATGATATTTAAAAAATTGACACAATTCACAATCTAAAGATTATGACTACTGAAGCTAAGAGCACAACTTTTCAACATTTATAGAGATGGATGTCCTAATCGACAATGGATTTCAAAATAAGATACGGTATTAGAACAAGGTACGAGTCGAGGTACCTCATTATGCAAAATGTATAGGTTAGATCTGAACATATGATGTGATAGGTTAACAACTCATCAGCATCTGGTGAGAATTTAGACATTGATAAGTCACCAAAAAATGGGGTTTGTTCATGAAAGGTGAAATCAGCAGAAATCATGTACTTATTTAAGAGGGCAATAACATCGATGCCCTTTTTACAGGCAAAAATATCCAAAAAAGACTCATTAAAGTCTTAGGATCAAGTTTGGACACTTGTCTGACGAGTATCACGAAAAAAACAAGTATATCAAAATATGCACGGTTCAATAGAAAAAAGAGAGAGAGCTAAAAATAAAACTTGATTGGGTGTCTGGATCTATAAAACAACAGAAGACATCCGATTGATCAAAAAACATGCAGTAAAAATTACATTAAACCAAAATTATTTAGGCACATTT